TCATTCTTTAATAATATTAAAGGAATGGAGGACTTAATGTACTGGTCGGTTTATGCTGGGCGTCGCATAATTTCAAGGTCAAGTGCATCCTATAAAACAGGAAAGACTCGAGTTAAGAGGCTCAGTGTTCGTCAACATCCATACAATAATCAGCGTCAATTCATGGATGTTGATGATGAACAAACATCAACGCATCATCGACAAAAGTTACAAGTAAAAGTTGCAGGAAAGCACGGAAGAAAGAAAAGGGCAAAGAAAAAGCTTCTAAAGCAGAAGAAACGAAGTATCGAAAACGCAAAAAGAATGTTAGAAATGAAACAAGTTGATATAATGGAAGGTATTGACGATGGAATCGAAGGAACTTTAACCTCACCCATTGTTGATAATCAGTTCGTGGCGGAAGCTAGAACAAAACGTTGCAGTCAAAGTTCGACTTATTCATCATTAGATAGTATAGGGGATTTCGTTAATTCTACAAAAGTTCCTGCCTACAATATTCTCATTCACCAATCATCTAAAGGAGAAGCGGAAATTGTCGATCGGTCAAAAAAGTTTCGAGACTTTTTGATCCCAACATCTCAAAATCAAAAATCTTTTTCTAACAACACTTTTGGGTTTAACAGCAATCCTTTTTACAATATTCCGTATAACCAATCACCACTTAGGCAGGAACTCAAGTTGGAAAGCAAGGACGAAGCGGATGAAGTTGAAAAAATATTCAAAAATTTATACCTCAATTCCGTTGACAATGAATCTACACTATGAATAAACCATTACCAATTAATAAATGGTCATTCCTGTTGATAAGCAAATAGAACAAAAAAAATAAATATATATAAAAAAAAAAACAAACAAAAAAACATATATATACACAACAATAACAAAATTGTTGGGAAAGTTATCTGAAGGTCTTATGCACAATTTATCTGATTATCAACAAAGATCGATATAAGGTTTTTTATCTATATACGCACACAAACAAGTAACATAATATGCAAGAACTGTTTATAATAGCTTTTATTGAGAAATAAAGGTGAAAAATTTTAATAGTAAATTGCGCCAATATGTTATGAATATGATACATGATAATATTAACCATTCCATCACGTACGCCTACATTAAAACATATCATTCCTAATAAAAATTACAAAATAAAGTCTAAATTAGGTAATATGCAAATCCTATAAGGAAATGGGCTCCTACGTCAGCTTAAGTCGGCTCATTTTAGTAAGTGGGAAATATTGCGAACTCCATATCGAACATTTTTTGCATTTAAGGCAAAACATCTTGGATCCACCCAGACTGTGGGGGATATACAAGTTTTGTTGGTACTCTTCTATACAATAACTATTTAACACCATGGATGCTCATGTGTCAAACGTTGGTGAAAGCAAAAATGTGACGATATGCACATAGCTCAGGCTACCTTTGAACCAATGCGTCGTTGCCTAATTCTAATATTACCATTTAGTCTGCTTATGATGATCTTCTTGTGAAGGTGTAACATAATAAAAGTATAGTCGAGTCGATTAGTGATACGTATGATTTTCTTTTTATATTGTAATTTGTAATTTTTATTTGCGATACATTTTATTCAACTTTAATTACCGGGGATGATGCTGAAATTGGATAATGCTGAAATTAAAATCCATTTCATACGTTTTTTAAAATTTTTTCGGGCGCATTTTTTGAGAGTTGTTAATATCAGGAATGATAACGACTTGAAATTATGCGACGCCCAGCATAAACCGACCAGTACATTAAGTCCTCCATTCCTTTAATATTATTAAAGAATGA